AACTGACCAGCGCTGACTACAGGAAGCCCAAGGCAGAGTCGCTCTGCCTCGGGCTTCCTGGAATCAGCTGCTGATCAGTTTCAGCAGCAGCTGACTTGGGGACGCTTGGGGTTCTTAAGTTGATTCTGTGGCTGAATCTGGACGCCAGTTCCGACTTACATACAGATTCAATTTAAGAACAAACCTACATTCCCTATCTTTTACGTAACCCTGGGACTGCCTGAAGCCCAAGGCAGAGTCGCTCTGCCTCGGGCTTCCTGGAATCAGCTGCTGATCAGTTTCAGCAGCAGCTGACTTGGGGACGCTTGGGGTTCTTAAGTTGATTCTGTGGCTGAATCTGGACGCCAGTTCCGACTTACATACAGATTCAATTTAAGAACAAACCTACATTCCCTATCTTTTACGTAACCCTGGGACTGCCTGTAGCTTAAATGCTAAGGTGACTTCATTCTAAAGCAGTTTGGGATCCTCTTTTGATGTAGTGTTTATAGACAAGTTAGTTAAAAGTGTTTGGGTCATAAACTGCTGCTGAAAGAGCAGCTAGGCCATAAGCAGAAAAGATGAGGGAAGAAGTCTGAAGAGCCATTTACTATATTTTCTTAATTTCTTTCTCTGTAAAATAAAAAACAGTAATAAACATTGAAAATAGAGAGAGAAATGTAATTTTCGCTGCTATTTTAACTTCTACTTTTAATTATTTAATAAAGGAAAGCTGTAGTCCATGCTTTCAAAAAAGAAATGTGTAGTTACGGAGCCTTATTCATAATAGCAAAATTAATAATCCCCTTCCAGGATCTGTTAGTAGGATATTCAGCGTTAGGTTTCAATGTATCCAAAGCATGCATCAAGCATTGTTGCAACTACAGGCAGTCCCCGGGTTACATGGATCCGACTTGCATCGGATCCCTACTTACAAACGGGGTGAGGCAACCCCGCACTAGCTGCTTCCCCCCAGCAGACCAGGGAGACGTGGAGCGGCTTTTCTCAGCAGACACCTCAGCTTGAGAATAAAGGACTGAGGGAAGTGAGGTGTGGGAGAATAAAACTGAGCTCTGGAGAAATGTTTGGCTAGAGTTTCCCCTACAGTATGTACCAGTTCCGACTTACATACAAATTCAACTTAAGAACAAACCTACAGTCCCTATCTTGTACGTAACCCGGGGACTGCCTGTACTGAATATTTTGTAGCATAAGAAATGTAAAGGTGACGTTTTTGTCTGTTAAGCTTGGAAATAACTAGTTACATGTCTATTTATATGGTTTTTTTATAGACTCCATTCACCTTTGGCTTGGGTCAAAGGGCACCATATACAACTGGCGAGCATTGTCTTCTTTGTAGAAGTGAACGGAAAGATACCTCGCTTTCAGAAAGTGGAATTAAAAATTCTAGCAAAACAGCACTTTCTACATCTCCAAAAGCAAATAGTATGCTGCATCTTCCTTTGTGGGTGTGTCCAGATTGTCGACGAACTGTCGAGAAGGAGGAGAGGCATGCCACGCTAGAGCAATCTCTTGTGGTAAGTTTTAGTAAATGAGTTGACTAAATTGAGAGGGTGCCATCATGTGCTGGATGCTGGGGTGGGGGGGGGGTGTGGTTAATCCATGTAATACTAATTTGTGGGGGAATAATGTTCTAGAAATGAAACTGAAAGTTTTACCTGGTTGACTAGCTTTGAAAACGAGTCTCTTAAGAACATTCTGGGCTATAAAATAGAGCAGGGGTGGGAAATAATTTTGATTTTGGTAAGTGGTCAAGGGACACACATTTCTGTGGAGGGAGTGTGGGGTCTGGGATGTAGGTTGGGTGAAGAAAGGAGCTTGGGGTAGGGAATTAGGGTGCAGGAAGGGATTTGGGGTCTGGGAAGGAATTTGAGTGAAGGAGGGCAGGGATTTGGAGCAATCAAATTTTTGTATTGCTCCGCTCCAGCTCCTCTCCGCCTCAAATTAATTTTTAACTAAATAAAAAAGTGCACACTAAAAAACCATTATTTTTATTCAAAGTTTTAAAACAGTTTAAATGTCATCAATGATACAAACTAGAATAATTCATAATTCAATCTAAAAAATTATTGCAGCAATCAAGTCACCTTTCATAGCCTGCTGCAGATCATTTAAAATTAACTTTAATGCCAAAAACAGTCGCTCTACACTAGCTTGAGTTGTTGGCATGCTCGAAGCAATTCTACAGGCAGCCTGGAATGCAATATGGGTAAACTTAACTTTTAGTCTACCAAATAGACTCCATTGCCTCACAATCTTCCCGAAAGTTTCTCTCGAATAATGCTTCATTACAATTATGAATCTCAGAAACTTGCCGGCGTCTGTCTTGTTTATCCAATTCCTTTTTGAAGTCTTCATCTTCTGAAGAATTTGTGCTTGAATTACCTCCATTTCCCTGTGATGGTTGAAGATGTCTCAGGGATGGAGGCTCGAAAAAGTTAAGAATGGAGATGGAAGTTTGAGAACAGCCTGTTATTTCTGAAGGATGTGAACTTTCCGAAACCGCAAATTCGATTGTTGATGACTCCTTTTGTTGTTTCGTTTTCTTCAACCTCTTTTTCTGAGTTCAAGTTTGTTGTGTTTCGTTTTCTTCAACCTCTTTTGCCGAGTTCAAATGTAGCAATAGATTTTGTATTTCGAGTCGTCGAGCAATATCAAGGAGCCCTTCCTTTGCCTTTGGTATTTCCCTTGAGGTAAGAAGAATCCGATACCGTGGGTCAACATAAACTCCAGCAAGGAAATGAATATTGTCAAAAAGCTTCTCTTCGCGTTTCTGCATGGAGGATAGAATTCCTTCTGCAATTTGTCCACCATTTTCTTGCAAGAATTTTGACAGTTTTCGCCATTGCTTCATTAAAACTCCTGGGGTTACATTGACAGCTTGAAGATTCACAGTTGTTTGGTTTGGCTTTGCCAAGAGGTCTCGCAGGTTCTTCACTTAGTCTCATTCAGCTTTTTTTAACTTGAGTTCTCTTGTTCCAGCAGCAGCCACTTGTTTACAGTAAGATTGAAAAATGAGAAGCTGATCAATCATCGCAAATGTTGAACCCCAGCGAGTCACAGTATCCAATGATTGTGTTACCCCATGTAGATCAAGCAGAACACTTCGAATACTTGGGGTTCGTAGTTTGACAACGACTTGTCAAATTTTTGCTAGAAATTTCTTCATGTTCTTTGTTCAGTCCATCCCAGATTGCCAACTGAAGAGTGTGAATACCACACCTCATCAGTTGGACTTTTGAGTTGTTCTCATGAAGACATGTTGGAAGTATGAGGCTCTGGTCATTAACCCATTACACAGCAGCATCCATGTTGAGTTCGATTTCATCCATTCCTTTAGTTCCTTCATCAGGCAAAATAGCTTCAGTTCTGTCCACATCCCTGTTCTCAGAGGTAGAAATGGTTTAATTGTCTTCGCTGAAATTTTTGACGTGAAAAATTCAAAACAAGAAGGTTTTACTGTTGGAATATTCTTTAAAAGTGTACTGTCCTCTTACATCCACAAATTTCCTCTATACCTCACTTGCCTGAAGAAAATACAATGGTGGGAAATTCTGCACACATTTTTAATATGTACATTAGGGAGCCCTAATAATCTCTTTTCTATGAGACAGTTTAGAAAACATTACACAAGAACAAAATTTTTCTTCTGGCACTTTTTGTATAAAGGTGCTGGATTCTTTTTGTTTCTGTAGTGACATTTCATGTGCATAGATTTGACTAGAGCAAGGATCACTGCACTTAGTTCTCCAAGCACAGTCTGACACAGAGAATTTGCTGAGCTTGCTGGTATTCTGGGCCAGGTCAGCCTACATACTACTCACTCTGCGTATTTCATGCTTCTTTACATTCTTGTGACCTGGATGAATTTTGCAAGGAATGGAGCAGTGCACTGTTTTCTTATATGGGACTCTGAGTTTTGGTCAGGCAACCTTAATTCATCCCTTAGTGATACATTACATTATCACATGCTATTTTTTCTATAGGACCATGGGTGGTTCACTGCACCAAACCAGTAGTTATTCAGTATTTTATCTTCCAGATTCAATGTGGGGCCCCATACTTTTATTTATTGCACACAATTCAAACCCTGCAGTGAATATAGAATTATGAATTTCCTCATGGACTTCTTGTGGTTCTCATCACTATGGCATTTCACTGCTTTAAAAATGTTAATTATATTTATTGTCACAACAGTACTGTTAAGTATTATCCTCTTTTTTACAGAGCAGGAATTGAGAAACATTTAAGTCAAAATTAACAGAAGTGTCCACTAATTTTTGGTTGTCATATTTGAGAAAGCTAGGAATTGATTTTTTTTCATAGTACAGTAAACTTCCGATAATCCGGCACCTTTAGGACCCAGGGTCAGTTTCACCAGCAGGCTGAATCCCGACGCCTGGGGCAGAGCAGCTGGGGTGCTGCCGGGTTGGTCCCGCAGCCCCGAGGGACAGCGCTACGAGACCAACCCAGCAGCACCCCAGCTGCTCTGCTCCGGGCTTCCACGATTCAGCTGCTGGTCAGTTTCAGCAGCAGCTGAATGGGAGAAGCCTGTCCGGCTGCCCCAGCACTTCTGGATTCCTGATGGTGCCGGACCATCAGGAGTCCCGGAGCATTGGATGCCGGACTAATGGAGTTTTACTGTACTGAGCATTGATTGCAAGAAAATTTCTGTTTTCACAGGTTGCCGCATCCATTTTCAGGTAGCACAATTTTTGCTCTAAAGCTTTCTTCAGCTCTTCATGACCAGTCTCAGCTGTGCTGACAACTAAATGACGAACCGCATCGTGCCCCATTGAAATACCAACCTGCCAACTCATTTCACCTGCAATTTTTTGGAATCCTTTGTTTAGCCTGAAGGTAGTGAGCAGTGTTGAACTCAAGCAAACCATTTCCATCAGCCCTTCACGGAAAGTATTGGCATCCATGGTGACTGTAACCTTTGAGGACTTCAAATATGAGTCAGTTTTGTTTGCTCAATTTTGGGTTTCTTTTCAGATGAAGTGCTGCAAAAAATCTTTTCTCCGGGAGTTTTCAAAGAGCCAGATGAACGTCGTTTAGCCATGTCAACTTTCTGTTTTGCCTCATCTTCCTGGTCCTTCTTTGTAACCAGAGCCACGTTGTTTTCAGGATGGTTACGTTTTACATCCCGCCAGAGGTTGACATTTTTCACGGCACTTGCTTCAGTTGTCTTGAAGCTACATGGTTTGAGCTCACCATTCACTTCCTTTTCCACCTTCCACGTTGCTGATTTCTTCTTTGCTTTTCCCAAAAGCCCAAATTTGGGCTTTTCAAATTCAAAAGTAAATACGTCATTGAGATCCTTTTCCTTAAATCGGCTCTTAATCATGGGGAGCAGATTTGAGTTGTTGTTGTTTTTGTTGTTGAAGGCATGGCCAAATATTCTTGTGCTGCTACCGCATCCAAATGTTTCTTATTATGATCTTTGAAAAGCAATGAACAAAAGCATTACATTTTTTTTGTAGTATACCTGGTTGTGGTATCTTAACCACTTAAGGTACTTCGAATTTATTTTGCCTTTTCTGGACAAAAATGATCACATTTTCTTTTTACACAAAATTATTATTGAAGTATATTTTAATATTTTAACATATTTCTTGCATTTTTAATGAAGTAAGAAGTATTTTAAATATACATAATTCATATACATTTTTATTTATAAATTGCAAGTTAGTTTCTCTTATGAAATTTTGCAGTAAAAGTATTCAAAATATTTTCCAAGTTTTTAATTAATATCTCAAATGCTTTAATATAGATATATCAATGAAATTTGTATGTGCTGTAGTGCTAGTACATGCTATTGCTGTTCTACAACATTAATTGTTGGAAAGTAACGAGGCTACACGTTACAAGGTTGAAAATAAACACATACTAATCTAACTAATCTATGCGAGTACATACTCGCCTAACCTTGGCACAAGGTTGGGAGCAGTCTGCAGTGTTGCTGGATGTCTGATAAATATCTGATTCTTTAATAAAACATATCGCCAAAAAACATTGTAATTTTGTATCTGTACATTAAATCTTGATTTCAGCTGAAGTGAGAATAACTGTGACATATTACGTAAAGTGGTAAAGTAGATGTTGATATCAATTGTTATACAATCTGAAACTTTTTGGCACCTTTAGGACTTTCTTGCTAAAATATCATTCATTTTGGATTGAAAATGAGGGAAAAAAAAAAAACTGGAGCAGTGGAGCAGTCAAGATTTTCTGTGCTCCGGCTCTGCTCCAGCTCCGGGTAAAAACCTGCACTTCAACCGCTCTGCACTCCAGCTCCAGGCCCCGCTCCAAAGACCTGAAAGAGGGGGTTGTGACCTGAGGTAGAGGATTAGGGTGCAGCAAGTGGGCACAGAGTCTGGGAGGGGATTGTGACTAGGGTCAGGGGTGCAGAAAGGGGTTCAGGGGTTTGGATTGTGACTTAGGTCAGGGGGATAGGGTTCCAGGTGCAGGCTCAGGTGGGGAAGTGTTTACCTTAGGAGGCTTCCAGCCAGCAGCCCGGTGGGACCCTGGGACAGACTCCCTGCCTGCTGTGTCGCACATGCCACTCAAAGCAGCCACCTGCTGGGGCAAAGAGCTGTCAATGTGTCTTTTTACATGGTATGCAGCCAGCAAACACTTGTACTTGCTGCAGCCACACATTCGGTATACTAGTTTGAGACTTAATATGTAATGCTTAAACTTTAATAACCTTCCTTTTTAAATAGTAGCTCATGTACCCAAGTAATATCGGATCAATGCATATATACCATGGAGAAATATTATTACAGTTGTTTTGAGTCTGTTGTCCACAAATTCCTGATGGTTTGTAGACTATATCTTAAACTTTCCAAAAGGTCTTTGCATCTCTATTTGAAATTTTTTAGTGGTCTGCTAATGAAAAGAGGTTGAAAACAATTGTATTGAATATAAGAAATTGAATGAAGGATGCAGAAAAAACCTTAAGAAGTTAGTATTATGAGCAAAATTTCTACCAGATCATGGAACCAAATTTTTATAAATGTCCCATATTTTAGATTAGAATGGAATTCTGTAAGACTTCCAACCACCTTGATAAAGAAGGGGCATCTGTTAGTAAGTCAATAAGCTGGTTTCAGAGTAGTGTTCTGTACTTCTACAAAAGGAATCTAACTCAGCTTAGTTGTACTGTGAGTTTTAAGTTAATGAGCTAGACCTAAGCATATTTTACCCATATTAACCATAAACAGTGTTTGATGTTGTGGCGTAGTGGGGGTGCTGTCTTCTTTGTAACCCGGTGCCCCCTGTTCCCCCTCCCCCCCGCGCTGTGACGTGAGATTCTCGCTGACTCTCTCAAATGTGTATTAACCCAGACACCTATGCTCAGCCTCCCAGGGAGAGAGACAAAGGGAGGAAGGTGGAGATCAACACCTGGCTGGTGGGCAGGGCCTGGGAGGGAGGCAGTTGTGGTCAGGGAAGCAGAAAGAGAACAGACTAGGGAGGGGGCTAGATTTGGAAGGGCCCGGTCTCCCCCATCTCAAGGGGGGGTGTTGAGGCTTCCTAGCCCTGGTTACTGTGACCAGATTACGTCTATGCTGTGCTGTACCCTGGAGAAGCAATAAACTCCCTCAATTCTACTGGCTGGCGGAGTCAGTTCTTGCCACTACGGGGGTGCAGAAGTCAGGGAGACCTCAACACTCCGTCACAGATGTACTTGTCGTTAAATGTTGGTTAATGAGATGACCAGGAGTTAGTTGAGTAGACCAGGGCTACTCGACACGTGCCCCATAGGCTGCGGGCAGCACGCAGCCTGTTAATTTGTGGCCTGCAGTGTGGTTTGGGTTTATGCCGGGCTCAACACATGGCCGCAGGTGGGATCCTTTGAACATGGCCTCCACTGGGAACACATTCCATAATGGCGAGTCAATATAATGGTTTTCTGTTGAAATGAGTTTTAGTAGTTAAATTCCTGGACTGTTATTGCTCCTTAAAAGTGCTGTTGTATGGGTGGAATTCGGGTAAATATTGCATGTTATTAATATCAGCAGAACTGACTTAAATGGGGCCTGCATATTGTGTCGTCATCTTAAACCCTTGTACTCTGAGTGGAGCATAAGTCATCGACAAATGTCCCCCACTTCACTCTGTCTTGAGGAAAAAACTTCTAGCTGACTTGAGGAGTACCCCAGTTGTTGTCCTTCTGTTTCAGTAAATCTCCTTCAGTTTCACGTTGTCCAAGGTCTTCCTCTTGTTTGCGTTTTCCATGTGAATGCTTGACTGACTGTACTGGATGATGGTTTTCTGAGAGTGTGGCCTACGCATCCCCACTTTCATGTTGTGTAGTCTTGCCTTAATCTTTGTATTCATGCCCGACTGTGTGAATGAAGTATTTGCATATATTGGCAAATGTATTTGCATGTATATGTAACCACACTTAAGTTGCGACCCTTGGCATATGCCATGAGTATCAGTGTGGCCCCTGGGGCTTCCAAAGTCAAATAGCCCTGCCCAAGATTGATCCGCTTCAGGGAGGAGGTATCTCAATTCTAGGCATTTCTTAAAAGTTGCAGAAAACAGAGAGTTCAAAGGACAGTCTTGGCCAAGTCATAACGAGTTGACATTTTTTCTAAATTCAGCCTGGAAAAAAAAAATTAGAGCCAAGATAAACAATGTACCACTGAATTTTGAAGAATGATCTCTAAGAAGCTGAAAGCAAATTTTATTGAACTACAGGTAATCCAGATCAGTGATTCCCACCATTTTTTATACCACAGACCAGCAAACCCATTCACAAACTTTTGGCAGACTAGTAACATTTTATTTGTACATTTGCATATTCATTATGATAATTAATAAGTAAGGGTTCATGTGTTATTTTACATTGTATTGGGGTGGGTGGGTGTGTGTGTGTGTGTGTGTGTGTACAGATACATGTAATTGTCATGGATCAGAGTTTGGAGATACCTACAACACTAAAAAAAATTCTGTTAAAAGAATACTTTCCTTTCTTATGTTGAGCCGTTAACATCTATGTAAAATTAGTTTAAAATGTAATCATGCAGTTATCATAAGCTAGGCCTTTTGTTCTGCCTGCAGCTAGATGTAATAGCGTAGTCGATAAACCAGTAAGCAAAAGCTTATAGGTTATTGCTTCAGACTACATGCATTTCCCCCCTGCCTAGCCATTAAAGTTTTTAGTAGGCTGACCAGCAACTCAGCTCAGTCCTGGATCATGGTGGGTCCGGGACCTACCCTCTCAGCGGCTCTGCATTTTAAGTGTATTAAGAGCTAGGCAGGCAGGCAGCCTGTCTCAGTTCCGGCTCACACCTGGTCTGGGAGTTCAACCCCCTGCTCCTTGACAGGGTCTGCTACCACCCTGTGCTGCTGCCTCAGTATCAGAGGCAGTAGCATGGGGCGATAGGCAGCCGGTCCATGAGGGGAGCTGTTTTTTAAACTGGTTCCTCTCACGGACCAGCTCCCGCCTGGCAACCTGCACTGCTGCCTCTCATAGAGAAGCAGCAGTGCGGAGTGACAGGGGGCTCCTTGGGAGTGGAGCTATAGAGCACTAACTGCCAGCCCCACCTCCGGGGACTATAGAATAGTCGAGTAACCAATCAGAATTCATGAGGTTAATCAGTTAACCAGTATTTAACATCCCTATCTGCCGCCAAGAGGGAAATAAGTTAGACACCTCCAACTCTGCTCTGTCCCCATCTCACTGCACTAGTCCCCGCCCCTGGAGAGAGGGAGATGTGCACAACTAGGCCCCCCAGACTGCATGCCCTACCCATGAACCATGCCCTACCCATGAACCATAGCCTACCTGGAACCC